AAATATTTAACTCCGTCACATCATCCGCTAGACTATAATTTATGTTTCTAGATAATCTAGGCAATGGATCCATGGTTCATGGTCTGAATAATGGGCAAAATATTTCATAAACGCATGTTAAATCAGCAGGCTAGCTTATTTCCTTTCAGATGCAAACTACATCTTTGTTTACTTGAGAAAGGAGTCAAAGGGTATGCTGAGCGAGGTGGAAGGCGAGGTCCAGGTCAGAGCAGGACCAGGTGGACCGGATGGCACTAGGTAGAGCCTCCTGCAGGCCGGGTTAGAGCGTCCTGCCTCCCGCCACAACCTGCATTGCACGCTGGCTGCCTGCTCCAGAGTGATGTGGTGTTGGGAGCTGTGGGGAAGGTCTCCTCAGAGCTCCTCCTCTCTGCAGCAAGCGGTGGGTTTCCCAGGTGTGTTTCTCCAGGACACAGTGACGTTAGTTAAAAAGCAGGTTTACCAGGGCAAAGGACAGAGGAGTAAAGACACTTGCAAAGACACAAGCGGGCAGGAAGGGACAGGCTTGCAGGTCGCAGGCCAGCGGCCTGCGGAGAGCAGCCTCTGCTGAGGGAGGTCAATGCAGAGAGGCCCCGGCAGGGGCAGGTCACGGGCGGGCAGGAGGCTGCTGCCTTGCGGAGGGAGAGAGCAGGTGGAAAGAAGCCCCTGTATGGGCACTGGTGGCAGAGGACGGCTGACCCTTTGCGGGGCTGTGTGAGGTTTTGCCATCTTCTTCTGGTGGGGAGGGGCCCACCGCTTGTCCTTAATCTCCAAATCTCCACCTTCAGATCCGTGCTCCTGACACCCCGTCTGATGCCATCTGGGTCTCATGCCTGTGATCTGGGTGTTGGTGCCTAAGGATCTTAGTTCTCAAGTCGTGTTCGTGGCTATGCCAACCCCTGCTACCCCACCGCCTCCTGCGAGAGAGGTTCCTCACCTGTGGTGCCTCCTTGCCAGTTTTTCTATTTTTATCCTCCCTCAAGAGTAGCATGTTTTGGTTTTTTTTTCTCTCAGACCATTGTGGGAAAGCTGGCTACCGTTCGATTTATTAAAAGCTGATTCTCATATGAAATGTATAAAAAACGGTTGCAGTAGTTAGGATAAGTCTAGCTGGTAGCCGACTTCAGTATCTCAGCAACTCAAGAAAATAAATGCTTATTTCTCAACCATGTAATAGTCCCAAGCAGGGGCAGGGAAAGCAGGTGAGGCTCAGGGGAAAGGAGACCCTTGCCCCTAGCACTTACTCGGAGAGTCACGGCTTGACCGTCTCCAGACTTCCCGGCAGGTAGAGGAAGCACATGAAGGGTGCTGGGAGGTGTGTGTGGGCTCAGGCTTGTCTGGGGGCTGACAGATCATCCCGCTTGCTGAACCACGTTGCTCTGATTGGGGGGGGGGGAGGGAATATTTGCTGAACTAGTCCTCTTTCTCAGGACAATAAATGTCACAACCCCCGTGTCTGCCAGAATGGGGGTGGGCACCTGTGACTTGAGAGGCAAAGCTAGCCACTTTCTTGATGACTTTCATAGAACAATTTCCTTTCTCCTTATTCTGGATCTTCTGTTTCTCCTTATCTGCACCCTCTTTTATCAAGCATCTGCTAGTGATGAAACAAGTAATCATACATGTTTTATTCTGAAATAGGCATTCATCAAGAAGAAATAAAATTAGTGATAGTGTGATATGCATAAATATTTCTTTTATTTTTTTTATAAAACACAACTGGAAAGTAGAAAGCAAACGTTGTACTACAGTCCTAATAATGTTTCCCCCAAACAGTTTAAGAGCCCAGGAAGAAGTGATCAGAATTCAGCATGATATAATCTGTTAGTACTTAAGATTTTTTCTTTTGGCCTGTGATAGATTCATTTCATATTCAAGTCTTAATCCAAAGACAGCTTTCACTTTGTAATACTAAGGCAATGTTGGTGCAGAGCAAACTCTGTGACAGTGAGTCTGGCAGCCGAGAGACCCCAGGAAGGCCCTGCTGGGCCTGCTCCCTCCTGCAGGCTCTCCGTGTCAGGCATTTTACCTTGACAAATTTATACCACCTTGTATTATCTTGACAATTTATATTATCTTGACAAGAAGAGGAGAGGGCATGATGAGGTGACTTGTGATTAGGCCTGAGTGGATCTGTTCTCCCCCAGAAGACAAACAGAGCCCACAGCCTAACAAGGACAGAGCTGGAATTTTTCGTAAGTCTCCTGCAAAAAGACCGTGTCTAGAAGTGACTTTCTCTCTTGTGGCTGCATTAAAGAATTGGGGTGGGAAGAGAGACAATGGCTTAAATTGTGAACGAATTGAGAAGAATCATCATGGTTAAACCCACCCTCCAGAGGGAGGCAGACAGGAAGGAGGGGCTCTCAGCAGCCCAGGAAAGAGGGTCAGCTTGTGCTGAGTGAAGCGAGTCTGTGGGTGGGGCTCCCACTCTCAGTGTGCCTGCCCACTGGGTCAGGAAGCTTCTCAGCCAGGTGCAGTGGCAGAGAGAAGCCACTGGGCAGCTCTGTATTTTATTGGGGCTCAAGAGAGCAAGCCCCTTTGATTGGGGTTCTGCCCCAGTGTCCTCAAATTTGTCTCATCCCACACAAATTAAAGAAGGTGAGCGACCGCCCCCAAGTGGGGCGTCTCTCCTCTGGGGAGGCCTGAGGCGCGCTGGATGGGACTCAGGTCATCCCAGAGTCCACAGCATGAGGCAGCTTGGGAATGGACCTGCACACTGCCCAGGGACAAGCCACCCGCTTCCTGTCCTCATGTCACTGGTGTGTTGCAGGCTCTGCATACCACGGTGTTTTAGATGTTTGCTCGCCCCTGGAGGACAGTTTGAAAGAACTGGGGCTGGATTAAGGCAGGACATGAGCTGGAAGGACACTGGCCCCGTGTGCATTTCTACGAAGGACTGGGATCTCCTAGCTCCCGGAGGCAGAACCAAGTCCAGCGTGGAGGGCGGAGACTCACGAGGGAGCGGGAAGGTCCACAGCCGGCCAGGGTGGCCAGAGGGTCCGCGGTCTGGGTGAGCCAGTCCTGAAGCCCTCTTGGTGGGGACGTTGTGGCCGGGGCTCCCGGGAGTCCGAGTTTTCAGACCAAGCCCTCTGCTAGAAAAATCGCCAAGAAGAAGCCGAGGGTCAGAGGAAAAGTGAACAGAGTGAAGGGCTGCGGGCAGGCGTCCCGACGGTCGCCTCCAGGCTGCCTTTCTGGGGGAGCCCCGCGCCGGGAAACGCCGTTGCTGGGACAACGGGAGCCGTTGACCGGTGGATTCCGGACCGCTTTGGGGGAGGGGCCCAATGCGGTCAGGAATTGGGCGTGGCTTCGGTTTCTATGGCAGCGGGGACGCTAGCCCGGGCCTGAGCCCCGTTTAGAGGCCAATGCTCCTCCCGACCTTTCCATGGCACCCAAGAAAGAGAAAGGCGGGGCTGCGAATACCACGGCTAAGGCATGGGAGCCCTCGCTCATCGCTGCACACTTCAACCAGGTGAGCCCCGCGCCCAAGCCCCGCCCCCGCTCGCCCCCAAAGTCTCCGCCTTGTGTCCCACACCCCAGGCCTGAGTTCAGATTGCAAAGGACCCAAGACAACCCAGGGTCCCAGGGGCAGGGACTGCTTGATCAAGGACAGAGCCTTAAGGGAAGAAAAAGGGCGTGGGGGCTGCTCGAAGTGCTGTGGTTTCAGGGTGCCAGGCCAGTGTTTGGTGGGAAGGAAGGAGGTGTCGCTCTGGCACCCCTTTTCAGTGAGTCACGGAGATGGCCCCACACACGACTGGACTGTAAGTGTCTTCACGAACTGCCCGTTTCCTCTCGCATTGTGACGTCTTTGCTCCGCTAAAACCGGCCACAGCACCTAAGGTGACTTTGCAAGCGAAGCTGCTGTCTCGGGGAGGGAGGGATGACGTCTGCTGTGTCCTCATTGGCGCGCCCAAGTTTGGGTAATCTATGTGAAGGCCTTGCTGGAGATCAGAGTACGGCAGGCTGCCTTGTAGAGCATCTGAAGGATGCCGCAGAAGTAGCAGGCAAGGCACCGCTGGGCTCCAGGCTGCCAGTTGCACCACCCCCAGCCTGACCAGGTCCCCTCTCACCCCACCGCCCCAACTACCGTGACTTGTGGGGCCCAATATGCTCTTACAGCTGCCCTGGAGATCTGCTTCAGGACCAAGTTGTTTCAAAGGCCAAGTAAGATTGGAAGGAGGAAGATGATATGGGAATTCCAACCAGCCATTTCCAAAATATTTGGAAAACTGGGAGCGTTTCTCATTGCGTCTGTGTGTACCGTGTGTTCCAGAGTACTGAAGTCTTAGATGCACTCAGAAGACCCAGGTGTCCTCCTTTCCCACTGTAATTATAATGGGAAATTATAATTTTAATTTTAATTATAATTTTTCTTCCATGACTACTAGTTCTGTCTGTTACGGAAATTAGCCCTAATGAAGAACTTGATGGAAACGGTTGTGATTGCTGATGTTATCATGGCCATCCAGGAAGTTCTGGTGATTCCTCTACCTTCAGCAGTGCAGAATGTCAACCCGGTCATTCCCAGTTACATTCTCAAATTTTCAAACATGTTTTTCAAAATGCTCTTTAAAAGCACTCTTTCTTTTGCTTTTTGTAGGTCAGCACCAGACAAAATATTTTTCTCCATTTTCTTTGAGATTGTATAGGCCAAGTTCGGGCTTGGAGCGAACATTTCTGCTTGAATTATAAACTGCTGAACAACGGGGTTTGATGGAGGTGCTGACACAGCGTTAGCTTTAGTGTTGCAAATATGAAGCTGTAATTTTCCTAGTTGAATGGAAAAACCTAAAGGCACTGTTTTTCCTTATGGCTTAAAAACCTGAAATAATATTCAGTTTTCTTGGTCCCGCTCAAACAATATAATTTCAATAAATCTTCTATATTAATAGAAAGAAGTTGAGCTCCACATAATGTATAGCTCTACTTACCAAGAGTGAACATCTTCGATTTGTTGGAACACATCTTTTTAATGCGGAGGAAGACAATTGCTCTCTGCCTCCACTCCTATTTTTTTCTCACCTTGATTTCATGTCTGAGCCAAGAAGAAAATTCCCGATTAATCCAGCAGCCCAAAGCCCAGAGACATGTCCTAACCACTCATATGATAGACTCTAAATTTTAAATAATGATAGTTATGTATGTTCCCTATTTACAGGGTTAACAGTGCTTTGTACAGTGTGTGTGTTCAAAAATAGGGTAGTGATTTAATTTCCAGATAGCTTCTTTCCATAGAATTGCTACCATGAGCAAAATTGTGCTCCAGTACGAGGGCATGAATCTCCGTGAACAGTTTGTGTGTTGTGTGTGTGTGTTAAGAATGGAATAGGGAAGTCCTTCCTTTCAGAAGTCTTACACAAGCCAGTCTGTAAGGAATCCAAATCAATAGTTTTGAACTCACACTCATATTGGGCTGCATTAGGTTTTAAAGAGAAAAAGCGAGTTCACAGAACGGTCTTAAAAACTTTACCTTGTGTCACGATTTTGCACTGTCATTTCAAGCTGGAGAAATCATCTGATTCTCTAGTTGTTTTTCCAATGTTTCTGTGGGGAAAACAAGGTCTAGAGCCTCCTACTCTGCCAACTTATTGATTCCACTATGGCCTAAGAGATTTTGCAATAAATTCTGATTTTTGAAGTCCTTTCTTCCAAGCATATCATGTGGCAGGTGATGATAGGAAAGAGAGGATGGGAAGAAACTTTGAAACTATAAATCATAACAATTTAAAGCATTTTTCTAGAAATATTCAAACAACATAGCAGTTCTCTCTGGGAGCGTCCAGCTGTACACGGCCCACCTCTGAGTGATGTCATGTGGTTTCAGAATGACTAAGCTGCATGTTTCCATCAGAATATTGTTATAAGTAGAATTTCTGTGTCCACACAGGGGGATAAAAGCCACAATTTTATATATATTAATTGACAGCACAGGAACAAATTTTCATATTACTTTAAAGGAAATGAAGAATCTGTATTTGGCTCCCAACAGAGACCTTTGTCTCAGATGTGTTCTTCAGAACTTAACCATCCCCTAAAAGTTCATTTGGGTTTCTTTATCTAGTTTGGTTTGGAGTTTTGTTATTTTGAATTTAAAATGTATTTATATTTTCAGATTATCTGAGCATGATTGTTTCTTTTCGTTTGCTCCTAGTCTAAGGTGTCATTTTTACGTGTAGCAGACATTACTTACTGGTGCTACATTGACTTACTGGAGCATCAGTGACTTACTGTGACTCACCACAGATATGAAAAACACAGAAGAAAAGCTTATGGTAGCCACATGCCACTTAATGCAGCAAGCTGCATTACTACAAGACGTGATATCGTGTCCCTAATGCCCAACTTAAGGAATGAGAACATTCTCATTATCGTTTGTTTTATAATTATTAGTAAGACTCCTTGGTTCACCCTTTCATGAATCTACCAACTCAATATTTATTTTAAAATATTTGGAGACAGCTCCTGAAATATATCAAGGGGCTTTCTGAGATTCTTGAAATCATGCTTTCAATTACTACATTTTCATTCTCAGGGTATTTCATCTCCTTGTCAAATAATCAATATGCATGTCAAAGATACAGAATGATTTTATACCTGGCAATACTATCCTTTGTAATACTTACTCAGAGGTGGGCATTCACAGCTAGACTGCCCCCTTATAAAACTGAGAGTCGGGCGTCCCTAGTGGTGCAATGGGTTAAAACGCAGCACTATGAAGCTAGATACAGCTGCTTTAGCACAAGTTCGATTCCAGGCTAGGGAGGTGACCCAGATGGCCTGACAGATGGCTCCTGTCTCACCAGCTGCTCCCCTAAGCAATGTACTTCATCGATCTGCCTGTTCTGCTCCTCACTCTGTCTCTGGTGAATCCTCTCACCCCCCCATGTACCTCTGGCCTGTACCCCAGTTCTGTATGCATAAATAAATACATCTTAAAAAAAAAAAACTAAAAAACTAAGTGTCAAAGCATTTCAATGTCTGGTCCAAAGATACACAGTCACTTGGCCAGTGGCAGACAAGATCATGGCTTTTTTTACTAGTCCATTCTTCTTCCTTAACTATAAGTTACATATGATGACACTAACACTTTTTCTAGCACTCACAATTTAAAACAAAATTCTACACACTTGATGTAACGTCCATCTTTAAAACAGTGTTTATTATGAAGTACGTAACATTAGAATAGAACATATAATTTAAGAAATGTCTATTGTGAAGTTATTGATTAATACTTGAATATGAGATCACTGTATTGTTTAAATCAATAAATAGATAAGGGGAGTATTTACTTTCCCTGAAACTTGCCTTTTTCCTGCTATTTCTTGCCTTCTGATTATCTATGATAATAGTTAGGATAAATAAATATCAAATGTGTAAAGTAGTATTTTGTCTGTCACCAAAGTCACAATAGCTAAATTGTACACACTTGAAAAATAGTAACAGGATTTCCTTCATCCTTATAAGATGAAGCTTATAATTCTTGTACAGATTTGGAAAGGAGAGTTCAAGGTAGATATTGCTGAAATGTTAACATCCCAGACTTCTTCAATAAAGAAAGTTTTATATATAGATACCAGTATGACAATTAATTGAATCTAAGTAAGTTTTAGGGGACGTGTTCGATGCTTGAAACCGTTAGAAATGCTTATCAATAAGGGAAATGTGTTTCACTGGACAGGACCCTTGAACAATTTTTGAGAGGCAGTAAAGAATTTTTTAACTTTTTTGATCTTAAACAGTAAGCTATTTCTCTTGTTAATGTGTATTTAAGACTTACTGGAAATACTCATAATATGAACTGAAGACTGATGTCTGGCAGCAAGCATATTTCTGAAATTAGGTTTGTTTTTATTACTGTATTTTCTGAAATATGCTTTCATTGATATTTACAAAACAAATTGCCAGTTCACACAAAGGTTGTTTTAATAAAAGCCAACGAAAACAACTGAGTTGCTAGGAAGAATGTTAAGCGGGAAATGGACTTTTCATAACCTCACATTATAATTTCTCTTTTTGGACAAAAAAGTATTATTTGAATGAGTTTGGAACCGAAGGGAATTAGCATGTCAAAATATCCACCTAGATGTTATATGTGATCACTTTTATTGCAAATGAAAAATATTAAATACAAGTAAAATTAAGTGTTGCCAATATGAGTTTGGCAATATCCTAGGAAAATGTTAGTTCAGAAATGGTGAATGTTGACTATGTTTTAGCTCTGGCCATAGAAACCCTCACTGGCTTCCAGTTACCCACAGGATGACATCCAAGACGCTCTGCCTGACTTTCCCAGCCTGCTGAATCTGGCCTTCCTCCAGCCATCCGTCTTTATCTCCTCCCCTAGCAGTCGCTGCTAGCCCTGGCACATAGAACTGCATGGTCTCTTGCCCTAAGACCAGCCTGCCTTTGTCCAACTCTTGTTCTGTGGGGCTAAGTACTCCCTTCTGGTTCCTCCCTCCTATAGATGACGCC